TATGCTTGTGTTCATATATTTGAGTTCTGATTTTTTTATGATTTAAAGATTTTGTAATGAAAATATTTTTAAATAACACTTTTATGATATGAACTACAGTAAGACCTTTAATATGTACTGTACATACTTATAGTGATTATTGATTAATATATATTGATTATTGATTAATATACTGTGCCTATAGAACAGTGATGGGATACACCATGACCACAGTACGCATGAGCAACTTACCATCAGCCCACAAATTTGCCAGTGGACTTTGTTCCCTGTTCTTCCGTAAATCTGAAAATCCGCCAATAGTGCGAAAAAATCAGATACGGGAATATTTTGCATTACAGTGGCCATATCTTTTTAAATTCAATAATTGGGCTAATATTCACATTAATAAAAAGAACAATGATTGAAATCAATTTGAATGAAATCCTATCCTAGTTTTCAATTTAGAAGTTTTTGCACTAGTTGTGAAAATAACGAGTCCTGCAAGAAAACCTGTGAATAATCAGACCTATTCACTTGCTGCCCATCACTAAAAAATGGATTATTGAATGCTTAAAGAACTTTATGAATTTGGAGGGCCAACTTATGAAAATAAACATGTACAACTGTTTTAAAAATACTATAGAAATATAAACACTAGCATTTCTTGCATTTTAATTTGGTGAAAGGCTGTTGGAATAACAGTCTGTTAGAATGCCTCTATAACACTACTACAGTACTGAAATCTTCAGTCAACATCTGTTCAGTCTGTTCCTGCACACCATTGTCTGCAACAAAAGTCACAGCAGTGGGATGCCACAAGTATAAATACATATTTGGCCTGATAATGTTTTTAATCTTCCACATAAATGACTTTCAAGAATGAATAAAAAGCTATATGAATATTTTGTGGATGATGCAAAGGTCTTATGCAAAATATGCAGTAAAAAAATAACTAAATGCTAAAAGACAACTTGGAAAAGGTAGTAGAAAGACACATGTAGCAAAAACAAGGTATAAGCCAGGTGAACATAAAATGTCATGGTATTGAGTATCAAACCTGCTATGGTATTCACAACCATTCAGTTCCTAGAGACTTTTAATTGCCAGGAAGGAGTTGTTAGTGCATTGTACAGAGGTATAGTATCCCAGTCTGTGGAATATAGGTACCTTAAAAGAGTAGTATATAATTAATCATCATAGGCTTAGTATATCTTGTTTTAAATGTTCTTGTTATCCATCATATTGTTTTTTTTGCAGTTGTGGCTCTGTTAACATTATTATGTTTTTTGTTAGATAGTTCAAGATAAATCTGCCTTGTTTTCCAGATAAGTAATGTATTACACAAATAACTCACACATAGGAGAGAGGAGGAGCTTACAATGACGTTTCAGTCCGACTTGGACTATTTACGAAGTCACACCATGACTTTGTAAATGGTCCAAATTGGACCGAAATGTTGTTGTAAGCTCCTCCTCCTCTCCTATGTGTGGGTTATTTGTGTATTGCTCGTCACGGTATTGTGCCTTTTTTGTTCTTTAAAGTTCTGTATTGCTTGTACAAACATGATATGCTATTAAATCCTGATCACACTTAGCAAAGGCTCTCATATACATCTGCATTTTGGTTAGTTTCTAGTTTATCCAAAATTGTATTTTTATGGCCTGGCAATTGCAATATTGTGTAACTGTAGTGGTTCCATGTGTTTAGCAATCTTCTCAGCACTTTTCAGTTGAGGATTCTGATTTCTTGAGTCATTCTGATTTTGTGTTATGCCAGTGCTGTTGGTCTGTAAACTTTTGAGTTAGTTTATTGCTACTTTTATTGAGTAAGGGTTATGTCAGGGATGTTTTAAAGCTTATGGGATGATGGTTATGTCCAGGTTGTGATGACTGTGTGCAGGGTGCTAGCAACAACAACTTAAATTGGCCATGCAGTTAGCAAGGAATTTTGGCCTTGGGCAGCCCTTAAATATCACGGGATATTTAAAGACTGATTTTTTCCTAGTTTTTTGACTAAGTATAGTAATGAAATTCAACAAGTCTGGACCTTGAACAGTGTGATGGGCATTCTGTCAATGGCTTCTTTAGTGTCAAAGGAGAAAAGGGGGGTAAGGGTTATGTCAAAAATGATAACAGAGTTTTGCATCACATTCGTAAGTATTTCATGCATAATGACTTGCGGAAAACAGAGTTTTACTATCCTCAGTAGCCTGTTCTGTCTTCGGAAATCATTTCAAGAGGGGTACCTTGACGTTGTTGAAAGACTTTTAATCCAAAGAACTGGAAGTATCCTTCCCTCTCTTGGCACAAATTTAATTACCACCTTACCCTCCTATTCCCCAGATGCTGTATGATCCTTATAGGTTTACCACTTCATCATAATATAATAACTCATGAAATCATAATAACACGATTTCAAACAAATCATGGAACAGGTGGGTCTTTAACCAACCATGGCAGATGAGCCCTAAAACTCGCATAGTACAGTGGACCCCCGCCGTTATAAAACGATATTTTTTCAACTCAGAGTATTTATGTAAGTGCAGTCTGACGAATTTGTTCCCTAAGAAATATGTGAAGTAATTAGTCATTCAGCCCCAAATTACATGTAACAAACCACGTTACATAATACACTTACATAACTTTGGTCGCATTCGAGGTAATCGTTGCGGGGTCCACTGTATTTCCTTTGGGAATGGGAACAAACAAGGTACTCCCATTCGTATCTTTTAAGAAACTAAACAAATTTGATGCACTTGGACATGAAGAATTATTTAAAATGAAAACTGATATAAAAATTTGTAAAAAGTCATGAAATTTTGAGTAAGAGATACATCATAAATGTGGGTAATGTTTTTTACAGACAGGACACTGGCACAGATTGCAATTTGAAGCTGTAAATGCAAAAAAAGAAAAATCATTCTTTAAGAACCATGCTTTAAGATGAATGTTTTCCAGGTATCAGATACCACTAGATAAATTCAGGGTCTTGCTGTGGTCACTGAAATTCTGATATTGGCTTATAGACTATAATCGGAAAGTTTGGTTGATCATAGACCACCCAGAGCATAGTAGTACACTACTGTCATAGCATCAGCTATAGTGGTGGTAGCTGTAGTAATAGTAGTAGGTATTCAAACTTTACTTTCCTCTTACCCATTAAAAGTGTTTTGGAAATATCACTGTACAGTATAGTGTTAGCATCAGAATTAGTATATGCAGTTGGTGGTCCTTGACTATTTAGCCTGTTGCCATTGGATATCAGTGTGGCAGTATTCAAGAGGAAACTGGGTGACTATCTCTGCAGTCTTCCAAATTAACCAGGCTGTGATGGATATGTTGGCTGGCAGGCAGCCAACAGCAACAACCTGGCTAACCAGGAAATCAACAAGGAGGCCTGGCCCCAGGCCAGATTGCAAGAGTAAGGAAAACTCCTAAAACAGATCACATGTACACAGGAAGAGCTAGAGAAGGAATGTGGATTGAGTCCAGTGACAGCTGGGGTGTCATAAACACACTTAGAGAACGCTTGTCTATATCAGATCTGCAGCAATAATATGAAGTGCTGGAAGACAAAGGTTACCGGAAAACAATTCCAGTGGTCACCGCTCCCATGGTCTGGTCTCAGACCAGGCCTCCTGAAATAAATATAGAAATTTTTAAGTGGAAACTAGATTTGTTGTTACAAGAGATGCCAAGTTATCATGGCTGTGTTGGACTTCTTATATGATTTATATGGGTTTAGCACTTGTTTCTTTAATATACTATACTGTAATAACAATATGTTGGCCTGCAGGCATCAGTAGTCTTGCTGGTCATGCTGTCACAGTCTGGGTCATAAAAGTAGAAAATTAAAATCAATCAGATATGAGGTAACATAGATACAAAAACACATAGACATAATAGAAGAAAGCTCAAAGTGCAAAAAATAAAATACAAGCATCAAAAGAGAAGGAGAGAGGACTTGATAACAACAGGCTTATTTTTAAAAGGAAATTTAAATATAGATAGGAAATATTTTGAGAACCAACAACAGAGGATAGCTTTAAATTGGAAAAAGTTATGAAGAAAAGACTAAAATGTTCTGTTCAAGCAGAGTGATATTCCAAAATGGACTCTAAGAGAAGGCAGTGTGTACTGCACTACAGCCACTGGAAATAAAGATTAGATAAAAATTTGAGAACAGAGAACACAAGCATGGCTCTATCATAGTTACAAGAAAGTATAGTACAGTAATTATAAGTATTGTTGGTAATTGCTCGTGGAAGATGGGATACCATGAGTGTAGCCCCACTTTTCTGAACAAATAAGTAATGATGCACACAAAGCTCACATTGTTAGAGGTATGAAGAACATGGGGACATGTTAACGATGTTCAAATTACAACACTCAAGTATTGATATGGTGAATGAAGATGTACTGAAAGGGGCAGGACCAGAATCGGGGTACATACGGAAGTTAAAAACCAATTGAACATAACAGATGTAGGAAGGATTTTTTTTTTCAGTGAAGGCAGTGAGCAAGTAGAATACACTAGTGGAGGTTGTAGAGGATAATACCATACATGATTTAAAAGAAAAATACCACACTGTGACAAAATCTAACGAGCTCAAAAATACGACACCAGTTGATTAATCATGAAGTGGCAGTCTCACTGCTTGTACTCGATCCCCATAAACATAAGTAGGCGAATACACCTAGAGAAATAAAAAACAATAAATAGGAGCACTTTTATGTATCAACACATTTGCTTTTTAATAAATGATACACAGTATATACCACACATTAATAAAAAAAAGCTAGTTTGGAAAGGAATAAATGCATGTGTTTTAAATTATATATTAGTTAACTGTTCTCTACAAATCTTGTACATGTTAGGATTGTTGATTCTTCCCTTACACTGTCATACTGTAGTACAGTACTGTATCTTTAATTTAAGTTCCATTACAAGCATAGGTGTTGTATTAAGATTGTTATTGTTTATGCAAAGCTTAAGTAATACTTTGCCTCCTATATATGCAGCTTTGGCAGCAACAGCAGACTGCAGTTACCATCCAGGGCACTACTGTGCCTAGTCCAAGAACAACACACATCTTTCAAGACTATGGAAATCAAGGACATCACTCAGGGCAACAGCTTACAGCAAATGCACAGCAACAGACCAGCAAGGAACACATCCAAGGATTCACCCCAATGGAACACAAAATTATTCATGAAGTTAAGTTGAAAATGGACACTGGAGCTCCCAAGCAGCAAGAGGTTGAGGGGCATGCAGGTGATGGCCTACACCTAATGAGGCCACTAATTGATCCAATCACGGGCCAGGAGATTGAGGGAACTCAAACACAGGCTAGTGTATAAATGTTTGGCTCGTTTCCTAAACTTTACTTTATCGTAATCCGGAATGTGAAAGATACTTAGGGTTGCTCTTTCGTTCATAATAAATTAAAATAAATATCTATTAAACAAGCCTATTATACAGTGGTGCAATGTAATTAAACTAATTATTAAATATTGGTGTTTTTTCAAAAATTATTATGTAAACTGCTGTACTAATAAATCAAATACAGCACGTATATTAATAATGTGCTTATTTATGCAACTTTTAATTCCATCATTATTCGTTACTTATGAAAAATTCTCAACATAAGTACAACTGCGGCTTGCGTTTGTGTTTTCAAAACTTGTGGTTTCTTCATATTTGCTTCTGAGTATAAATGTGAACATAATGGATGAAATTTTTTAAGTAAATAGAAAATTAACTGAAAGCAGACATTATAGTACGTACTAGTTCTGGAAAGTGAACCTGTACTGAATAATGATAGAATTTTTATCATTGATATATGATACTAAAAGCAATTCAGTTATGGGCATTGTATCATCATTACTTGATAACCGTTTCACATTAGGCAAACTTTGTTTATGTTGGGTAAAAAGTACACATGTGCAACTAAAATTACATTTTATTATGGCAACGTTTCACTTTCCAGGAGCTTTATCAAGCCATTACAAACAATATACCCTCTTGTGTCCCTGTGTTGTTTGTAACAGCTTGACAAAGTTCCTGGGGAGTGAAACGTTGCCACAATAAAATGTCGCATCAGTTGCACTTGTGTCCTTTTACCTAACATATTGTCGGTAATTCTACCAACATTATTACAAACAGTACTTAGTATGGACATAAATGGGTACATACTTTTAGTAGATCAAATGGTCTCAACATGCAGATGATTGAGGTACTGTACTGCATATTGAACTGGTTAAATATGCAGGATTATCCTTTGAAGGCAGTATGTGGCTAACTTGTCCAAGTTATGACCACTACGTGTCTTCTTTTGGGTTTCATTTTATTTGCATGTTTTTTAACCCTTAAACTGTCCAAACGTAGATCTACGTTCATGTGTGTAGCGCTCCGAACTTTCCATTTTACATACTTTCTTATGTAAAAAAAAGTAGATCTATGTTCGGAGCGCCACGCACATAAACGTAGATCTACGTTTGGACAGTTTAAGGGCTAATTGAAAATTTTCAATTCATCGAGGTTGAAGTTCCATACACCATATTCAGTACATCATGGGAAAAGAAATTAATTATAATTTATTCATCCTCTAGAATAAAATAATTTAATAATATCTTGCATGTAAAATACATAGCTGTCACTTTTGGACCTACATTATTTATTACAGAGCTATTTTCATGTTTTAATGATAACAATGACTATCATATCATGTGGAATATGTGAGCATAAGCTCAGACTATGACAGTACTATTCCTTGTGCAAATGTATATTCATGAGGAGAGCCCTTGCATAAAACTCCAACATGTGCACTTAAAATATTTCTGCACACTTTCTCTGCCACACTCTTCGTAACTACTTACTTTTTTTACCCAATTAAAGAACTTTTTCTACTGTTGTCTTTGCCTTTACTGAGTTCCCCAATCCTTGTTTCTCTCTCTTAGATCTATGTATTTAACTTTTTCATTGAGACTATGTTGCATCTTTTGTCCTCACTTTTGATATAAAGCTAAAAATTGTTAGTAGAGGGTGAGGAGTGTGTGCCTATATTCATTGGATATAAAACATTTTAAAGATTATTTTAAAAGCACACTACAAAGAAAATGTTAATATTTTGTAGTAGTATATTGAATGTGTCTTTTTTTAGGTTATCCTGCTTTGATGAGACATAACTCATTTTTTTTTTTTTTTTTAAAGAAAATTTCATCCAAAATCAGTCAGTTTTATTTGCTAACTGTGTAGAGTATGTCAATACTGTATATACAAGACTCTCATTAAAAACTCGGTTCTGACTTAAACAGTTGATTGAAAGTGTTTTTTTTTTTTTTCTTTTTTTTTCCCTCAACGAGTCGGCCAGCTCCCACCAAGGCAGGGTGACCCCAAAAAAAAAAAAGAAAGAAAATTCCCAAAAAGAAAATACTTTCATCATCATTCAACACTTTCACCTCGCTCACACATAATCACTGCTTTTGCAGAGGCGCTCAGAATACAACAGTTTAGAAGCATATACATATAAAGATACACAACATATCCCTCCAAACTGCCAGTATCCCAAACCCCTCCTTTAAAGTGCAGGCATTGTAAATTAATTTTCATTTAAGTATGTCAGTTAATAAATTTGAGTTTGAAATAAGAAAATTTATAATTAATTTGTTTTAACATATTTTAGCATTTTTAGTACACATGAACATTAAGAGCTTCTGTGAGATTTGCAGGGTAGAAACAAGTTTGCTCAGTGCTAGCTTAATAACAAGAAAAAACATTCCCCATTTCTTGATTAATTTTTTTATATACTAACAAAATGTAAGCACACCATATTTGCACCACAATACTGCAAATGCAGTTAGCACTCAATCTTTCTTCCACTGTCTGAAAATTAAAGTTTTGATGTAAAATTCTGTTTATTGGCGGTGTTCAGAGTTGAATTTAAGGTCAGTTTTGGTTTCCTAGAGCCTTCAGATTTTTGTGCTGGTATATTATATACAGCTGAACCCGATTCATATACGTACTTCACAGTTCACGAGATTCAATTACACACACATTTTTACTGAAGGGCTAAGTGCAGTCTGATCCCTACAGGTGTAACTTTAGCACTTGTCCATGAATTGAAATAATAATAATAATAATAATAATAATAATAGAAAATGTCTTTGATTAAGCACAAATTTTTAGGTGGTGCTTGTTTTTGGGTTGTTCCATTCCCTAAATAATAAATGAACTATAGAATTTTGTGGAAAATATGGTCACTAGCTTTCCCACTCCCATATTTCACTCTTTTTATTTTGGTCATTTTTTCTGTGAAAGTTAGTGTTAACCAGATGAGTGATATTTAAAGGGGTATGGCCTCTACAACACAAAATGAGCCCAAATCAGAAATATAATTTGTTATATATCAACATTTATGAGGCCTCTGGAAGCATAATGCTTTTGAATTTAGGGATTCAAGTGTTCTAGTGATAAAGATGTCAACATGGAAGTTTGGTCTATGGCTTGACTGCAAGTGTAGAACTCTTAAAACTGGTCAAAGGTATGTAATGGGTAAACAGACTTTCAAAACACACTTTACTTCATATGTGCAACCTGTTCTGAATTTTGCTTCACAGGTGTGGAGCCCTTGCCTAGTAAAACACAAGTGAAACTTGAGAAAGTATGAAGTATCAAGATGTGGCTAACTTGAAGGAGTAAGCTATGAAGAAAATGTGAGAATTAGTCCTCATGTCACTAGAAGAATGAACTATAGGGGCTGTGATCTCTTAGATACAAAAACCAGTGGAATATAGCCAGGGATAGGCTCTTTATCAAGGATGCAACAAGAGGAAGCATAATAATAATAATAATAATATATTTACTAAAAGTACATGTACAAGATATACAGGCCTAGCTGACATCAGTGACATACTACTATATAGATAGCCGCATGTTATGCAGAGCATTTCAGGAAAATTAGGTCAGTTTTGTCCCAGGATGCGACCCACACCAGTCAACTAATACCCAGGTACCCATTTTACTGATGGGTGAACACAGACAACCGGTGTAAGGAAACGTGTCCGATATTTCCACCCCTTCCCCGGACCCCTCGCCATGTGAAGTGAGAGCTTTTGCCTCTAGGCCACGGGGCACCGTGGCCTGGTGGCATGGTTGATAATTACACCTTATTGAACCACCAGGTTATCAGGGAATATTTCATTAGTGTAGGAATGGAGGAAGCAGAATGAGCTGAGCAGTGGGAGTAGACTTAATGCAGGAGTTAAAAAAGTAAATAGTATAGCCGATTCATGTCATTTAGTTGAAGTTAAGACGTGCAACAAAGACCTAGAGTTAACCCAGCAAACTCAAATAGGTGTGATTAATTGGCAGCTATGAAAAAACTGATGATTTTTTTTAACACGTTGCCATTTCTCACTGAGGCAGGGTGACCCAAAAAGAAAGAAAAACCCAAAAAGAAAGAAAAAACTTTCATCATCATTCAACACTTTCACCATCACTGTCTTTGCATAGGTACTCAGATATGACTGCTAGTATCCTAAACCCCTCCTTTAAAGTGCCAGGGGCAGTGACTGAAAAAGGATGGCTATAAATTGGTACATGATTACAGCTTCAAAGCATTATAGCCCTACAATACATCTTGTTTTATTAACTACGATTGTTGGCAGTTGAAAACACTTTCCGTGTATTCATAAGTAAAATGAGTATGATGAGGGGGGAAAATACATGGAGAGTGTGATTAAGATATTATTGGTCCTCAGATCAGACATATATAGTGAGGAATTGACTGAGAAGACAAGGAAGTTGTGATAAACTGAAGTCGCTGCATGTTTAGTTTTTATACGCCAGAAAGAATATTGCTCCTGTTCATTGTAGTTTACAGGTTTGACATTAGTAATTGGTGTTAAAAGCTTAGATAGATTTTATTTATTGTTGATAACAAGGTTTGTCCATTGGGTAATTGCAGTGTGATCCTTACTCAACTTGAGAAAATTCTGATGTTCTAAAGGGTCATTTATTTCGAAAGAGGAAACCTCAGATTGTTTATTACTGCATTACTTTGTTACTATCATTGTGCTTGGGTCTTCAAAAGACCAAAACAGTACATACAAAATCAAGTCAGAAGCAATATAAAAGTACGTATGCCTAATACAGCATAACCACAAAACACTTTCCTAAAGAGGTAGGTATGAAAAGGTAAACAGCAGCATAATGTAAATGATTTTGAAGGTTTTGGAAACCAAAAGAAAAGGAAAACACAGTTAAAAAGCAAGTAAATGAAGGTAGACAAGAAGCCTGACAAATACTGAACTAATACTGTAATTAATGTTAAAAATGCAACATTTCTGCATAAAATTTTTAGGTGCGGTTCGAAATAAACTATGGGAAACACAAAAATGTAGTCAGAGTATAAGCTAAGTAATAGAAATTCAGAGACCAGAGGCAAAAATTATACAAAGAAGTTGAACTGGAGCATGCCACTTAATTTTTTTTAGGTTTAATGTGCATAATTTTGTACCAAGTTTTTTCTGTGTTTCATAATTCTTTTGGTTACACTTTAACAAATAAAATATCACAAAACAAAGTTGTGTAATGTGAGGGTGTACTATATGTAGGAGAGAAGAGAAGTATTTTGTAGTAAAAGTAGGCCTTACACATTGATGAATGATGTCAAGGAGAGTATTTTCCAGTAATATTAAGCCTTTGAGGTGTGTGATGTCACTGTAGTTATTTATTTATAGATGAACTAATGAAGGAAATGAATTGGATATTGTAGAAAGTGGGAATTTTACTGTTGCTGGTTGCTAATGACACAGTACTTAAGATTCAAAAGAGAAACTGCAGAGTATGGTGAAGGCATTTAGGAGAGTGTGTAAAAGAAGGAAGTTGAAAGTGAAAGCTGGAAAGAGCAAGTTATAAGAGTAAAAAGACTAGGCAATGAAAGATTAAATATTAAATTAAAGGAATGAGGTAAAGAAGAATGTTGTTACAGGGGATATTTGTGAATGAATATTTCTGAAAGTGGGTATGTGTAAAATGAGGTAAAATAAAAAAAATCAAGAGAATAGTGGTGTCACCAGTTTTGCACGAGCATGAGGCATGGTCATTAATTGTTGCAATGAGAAGGAGGCTGAAGAGAGTGAGGATGCAGTGTTTGAGTTCAGTGTATGATGTTGATAATTTGCTGAGAATAAGGACTAGAAATTAGAATTCAGTGTGCTACTATAAAAAGTATAATACATGGAGCAGAAGAGTGGCTTAATCATTTAAGAAGGGTGGCCAATATAAATCTGAAGTTAATGGAAAGAGGTGTATAGGTCATCCCAAGGAGGGTTAGATGGAGGGTGCTTAGGTTTTGATCATGTTAGATTGAAGTGAGTGAAAAAATAAGTTTTTTGAGATTTGATGTGTTATTGGGGTGTGAGCAAAGTAATATCAGTGAAGGGATTTAGGAAACAGTTATCTAAATTTAAATTCTGGAAGTGGAAAATGTATTGGCTGCATTATGAAGTATGTGTGTTGGGAAGTTGTGATATGGCGGATTACTTAAATCGAGATGTCTGTGCACTTTAGGAAAGACAGCTAGGGAATGGATGATGGTTAATGTGTTTTCCTTTGGGTCACCATGACTTGGTGAAAGATGGCCTCTTCATTTATATTACAGTATATTATATTTTAGCTTTTACAATATACAGTATTTTGTATTATTTGATCCCCTCAAGTTAGGTTCCTTGACACTGGTGAGGGGCTCTTGATCTAGGGAATTGGATCTGTGCTCTGGTTCCGTGAATTGAGCCTGAATACCTTCCATTCCCCCCCCCCCACATATGCTGTATAATCCTACAGGTTTAGTGCTCCCCCTTGATTATAATAATAATGTATTATTTGATGAAGCAGTTATCTAGTCAGTTTGACTATACAATAATGCATGTTGAGCTACTGTATGTGGAAATGCTTTTAATATGATACAATTATCTTTGTAGGAAACTGGTGATGCCCTGTATAGCTTCACAGGGAACTTCTCCGGGGCTTCAGCATCTGCACAGGTAACCTTACAGTGTATGGCACACCCTAAGATTTCTTATGCCAACACCACTCAAATTTTAAAATTAAGTTCATCACAGCGATTATTAGCACGCCAAATTCATTGTTCTCTTTCCATTAAACACATTTTTTTGAGTCTTATACCTGTGTGCCCTTTGAGGACAGTGCCTTGAGGATGGTGAAAGGCTCTTGATCAAAGGAATTGGAACTGTCCTCCATTTCCTTTGATCAAACCTGATTACCTCCAGTTCCACAGGTGTTGTATGACCCCTGTGGGCTTAGTGCTTCCCTATGAATATGATAATAATAATAATATACCTTTGTGTTTGGAAAGCAATGCACTTTGTTACAAATTCTTCATAAAATGTTAGGTGAATTAATTTTTTATTTATATAGCATTTGTAGCTTTGTTATTATTCATATTGGATGCTAAGTAAAATATTGATAAGCTTAAACAGCAGTGGCATGATTAAATTCTAAAAGCTTACAGCTTTGGATTGATAAATTTATCAGTGCAAAGCTAATCTTCCCAATTGTATTATGGATTGATGCTAGGAGGCATGATTAACATGTTTTGGAGCATGAAATACAAATTTTTATGTAAATGGTTCCAGGAATCATCTGGAATTTGTCATACATTATTCATACCAATACTCTCTGAGACTTGGTAATGGTCTAGCTTGCAGTTACACCTGGTATTTTGCCAGTGTTCGCATGTTGAGCTGTTTGTTGTGAGCAGCATAGCTTGAGACATTGTCCAAGCTCAAAGCACAAGCGTTGGCAACTGAAATGTAATAGATTGCGAAGGTGGTGGAAACTATGGGTCTCCCATGGACACAGAAACATTTTATATTAATTAAAACATGTTCTTTGGTAGTTAGAACTTCAGAGAGACTGCTTAGAATCAAACTACTGCCCACTGTCTGTTAAACAGTAGTAGCAGCTGTTGAGGAGAGGTGGAATTGAGGAGTCAGGTACAAGTATCACAGTATTTGGAGGCAGGGTAGTTTACCAGATAGCTGAAAGAGGTGCCAGTGACTACATTGTAAAGGGATCTCAAAGTTCATCCCTGACCAAAGCCCACACTAGGAATGCACGGTCATTCAGACTGCAGAAGATGAGAGAAAAATCAGACACAGAGTACAGCCTAGTAGAAGAGAAGCTTCAAATATGATTGCAAGAAAAGGGCCTTGAGGTAAATATCACATCAAACATATATACAGAGGTACACAAACCACATAATTTCAGTAGCATATGCAAGACTAGCAAACCTCAGAGCAGTATTTATGAACCTAAACAAAGAATCCTTGAAAACATAATGTTAGGCCAATCGTCAAGTATTTGGCCCCAGTGTGAAGCCCCAGCTGGACAAGTATGCACAGAAGGTAAAAACATTATCATAATCATTATCATAATCACAGGTCAAAGGCTTGCCACTATGGAAGTCCCAGAAGTTTGAGGAATGCACTATGAGGAGAGGTTGAAGTAACCGAATGTGATGACCTTGGCAGAGAGAACTAGAGAAGACATAATAATGATGTACAAAATTTTAATAGGAATTGATAGGGTAGAAAGGGATAGACTAAATTAAGAGGACAAGGGACATGGACATGTATGGAAGCTGAAGTCTCAGAGTGGTTGAACAGTGAAATTAGGTGGATAAGGAAGTGTTGAATGTAAACTCGAGACTATATACAGCTTCAAAAATAAGTATGATAAGTTCCAAGAGGCCAGAAATCAGTAATGTCAATCAGAGTAGTGTCGGATAAACACATTTTGGTGAATGCCATCTCAGAGAAGATTCACATTGACAAGAGATAGACACATAGCAGAAGCCACTGCCAACTAGACAACAGGGAGAAGGAGAGAGCCCGCCTGTAAGAACAGTTCATTGTTTAGGGACTCCCATATTGACTTGAGGAGGGGAAGCTGACTTACCACAAGCTATGAAAAAAATTCCTGCCCTAGGGTGTCAATGCCCTGGAGGGGGCCCTGGTTAAGATCTGTTGGACTAGAATGATAAGAGTGGTAGTGAATATAAGATGGGATATTAGCTTGTCAGATGGTTATTAAAGTGTAGAGTTTCCAGTCAGTATATGAACCATTCATGAAACAGACACATAACCAGGATGAAGCCCTTGGGTCCCAACAAGATGAAGTGCTGGACAAGGAAGTATCCAGGCACTATGATGCGAGGCTGATATCTGAGGCATTTTGCTTGGATTGAGCCACAGGTGACACTGCCCATAATCATTGAGCATCAACATGTGATTTGAGGCAAACAAGGCAAAACACTCAGTATAAGTTTGAGTTGGACTGTTATTTGGGCCCAGGGAGGTGAGTATTGGAATGAATAATGTGTGATTATCATAATCAAGGCTGTCATGATGCATTTTCATTAACCATTGCTTTTCAAGAATTCAGATTACCCAAGGAGAATACAAGTAAAGTCAAAGGTATGAAGAGTACATACAAGTGTCTTGATTTTAGTCTCAGAAATTTTAACTGTTAGATAGGGCGAATGAATGTGTGAGATAACAGGGTGTGCATGAGGAAAATGCACAAGAAGTGGCAAAAAACAGACTTGAATGAATGCAGTTTATTAATTGTAAAGGACTCTTGTTATTTTGTTTTATACCATTTCTCTTGGAGTGCTCTGCACCTAGTTATAAAGTGGCTGAGATACTGCAGTTGATGTTTTGCTAGAGCGTGTACTCACCTTGTTGTGTTTGCAGGGGTCGAGTCACAGCTCCTGGCCCCTGTGTGTTGTAGTTCCCCATGATACTGCTGAGTGTGAAAGGTATTATGAAAGATTGGTTACATTATAATTGTGAATATCTTTAACCCTCTTTTTAAAACAGTACTTAATTATATTTCTGGGCAAGTGCTTCCCCACCCCATGAACATGAGTAATTTGGAAATGATGATATATTAGAATTTGTTTCATTATTATGAGGTGACACTCTTTAAAAATACAATTTAAGAAGGCATTCACTAGCCACTTACATGGTTTCACTTAATTTAAAAAAGTTCTCATACAAATTTCTGTAATGTCTCCTAATATTGGCTTAAAATGCTGTGACCAGAATTTTGGGCATATATAGATATAAAATAAAATCAAGTCATTATCTTTCAGTATGATGTTTTATTAGGCTCTAAAGAACCTTTGTGTCGTGCATGAGATTTTAGTCAACTGTGGAGAGGGATAAAACTGATTCCAGTTTTCATTAATTATGTGCATCTCTGTAGTAATATACTGTACTATCAACTTGGCTTTACTTTCAAACATGCTTTCTTGCTCACATATCAGCTGAATATATTTTGAATGCAAAGTTACAAATGTTTTTAGTCAGAAGATTAGTTTAATAGGCTGTTCAAGTTCTAATTTTTGCAGGGTCAGGCTACAGCAACCCCAGCATTGAAGGAAGCCATGGAGTGCCATTATGGTGACTGCAAGTGTATCAAACAAGAAAACCAGACAGATGAGCCAGCTAACCCACCGAAGCCTTGTGCTGGTAAACATTGTAACTGTACCTGTAAAACCCATAAAATTGTCATTGCCCATAAAAAGGACAATGTAGGAAAAATCCACAAGTGTCCCCATTGTGAGTTTACCAGCAAGCGTTCAGACAATGTTCGGCGACACATGTTGCGGCACACAGGTGAACGACCTCACAAGTGTCCACAATGCGACTTCAGTGCAAAACGGCCTCATTCACTGAAAAAGCATATTGAAAATGTTCACAACAAAGAAATTAGAACAGATGGAATAGTTAGATAAAGAGGTTCAACTTTTTAATAGAGGGTAACAGGACATCTGACTGGTGTAAATTGTGAATTTTCTAGGTTTTCAGAATGTAAAGAAAAAAGGTCATTAGTTTTCATACAGAATAAAGACATCTCATTGTATCATATTTTTCAATCATTGACAGTGATAAGTGAAGATGACAAGGAAAGAAAGTGATAGGCATTATCTGAAAAAAAAAAAAAGTTAAAGTGCGTATAAATTTTTAAGCAAATGAAGAAGTGTGATAAGCTTTCCGAAAGAGAAATTATTTTTAAAATATTGTTTAATAAAACAGGATTAATAAGGAAGAATCTCAGTAAGGAAATCAGGAAAAAGTCTTCAGCCCTCTTCTGAGGTAGCAAGACCCGAAAATTTGTATCATGCTTCAGTGAATTATAACAGAACTCCACACTGTTAGTGATGCCAGTTAAAGCTGTTATAAATCCATAGAGCACTAATTCTTAGGGAATGGAGTAACAAAAAAATATGGACTAAGGATGATGCTCCGAGTTATGGTGTGCTTCTACTGCTCCTTGTTAATGTCTTATACTTTTTACCGTTTCTTTCGTTTTGGGTAGTACAAAATTGTAAGTGTGATTTCTGACAGGCTGCCATTATGGTCCTTGGTGGAATATGTTAGGTAGATATTAAAAAATATTAAAAGGTTCATAGCATTTCAAAAACTTCCACATATTTTTCAAATCCAATAACATTATATTCATATAACATACTGTCTCAGTCCTATATCTGCTGGCAGCTTCATTTAACCCTTTCACTGTCGATAATCCTGCTCACAAGCTTGCTCTCAGTGTCGAAGAATTTAAAAAAATAAAATAATTTTTTCTTATGAAATGATATAGAATCTTTTTCAGATGGTAATGACACCAAAAATACAAAATTTGATGTAAAACTTACAGAATTACACTCTCACAAAGTTACCGGTCTCAGTGATATTTACACCGGCAATTTTACCCATTTTGAGCCCAATTTTCAGCCAATTCCATTGTTCCAGTTGAACAAACTCCATTGGTCTATCAATTGAGTACAAGAAACAGCCCATTTACCAATTTCAACTGCCCAATAAAGTGATCAGAAATTGGTAATTTTGCCAATTTCATACATAATTCAAGTAAGGCCAATTTCAAAATTGGGTTCAGAATTAACAGTACAAACATTCCTAGTACTAAAATAACATTCTCTGTTCATTAGCCACATCTCCAGGCCCCTCTTATATTACACTTGCTTTCGATTTTGAATTTTTATTCACACAAAAAATAGAAGATTTACTGTTATGCAGACTACTGCTTTATTGTAAAAATGGTATAAATAATATCAGCACATTTGTGAAAGCATATTAGACCCACCACTTGATGTGTATTGGACACGTGACTGCATTTGTTTACTCTCGAGTTCAATTTCAAGGTGCTTTTATTCCTTAACCCTTTGACTGTTTCCGGCCCCTCTCTGAAACTGTCATTCTATGTCGCCAAATATTCAAAAAAAAAAAAAAATACTTTTTCTTATGACAATGTTAGGAATATTTTTGTGAGTGTTTTAAGCCTAAAAAAAATTTTTGCCATCAGTACTTACCGAGATATAGAGCCGCAAAGTTTGCAGAAAGTGACGTGCGTACGGCAACAGCGGCGACTGCCGCCCACCTGGTATTCTTTTATTTACTCTAATTCAAAGGTTTCTTGCATTTTTCAATATTTTTCTGTTCCAGGTAACTTATGTGGCCTGTGAGACCAATGTAAGGTGTATTCTTCAAATATACACTCATTGTTTACAACACAATAACAGAACAAACTTTATCACTATTAGTTTGTGTATACACTTTGTTTACACAAACAAACAATACAAAACAATGTTTATTACTATTGTTCCATAATATATATACATATGTACAGTCACTAAACACGTTCCTAGAACTGCTGCAGCTTGTGGAACTCTTTGAAACATAGGTATATGCAGAGGGGCACTTCACACTCCTCACACATAAAACGAGTGTCTCTGCGTGTTTGTGGGCATTTTGTGGTATGCATACATACATAACACCTCTTTTGAGCATTTTTCTTGGCAGTAGTAGGAGGCAGTTGTATGGGGTAGTGATCACCAGGTCTGAAACGAGATGATGTGTGTGGGCGCTGGTCTATTGCAGGAGTTGCTCCTTGGTAGTTTGCAATTATTTGTCTGATTACTGACAGGCAAAATTCACCATATTTTGGTGTTTTGTTGGTCTTCAACTTGTATATGTTATAAGCATTTAGCATAGAGATATTAACAAAATGGAAAAAAAGTTTTATATACCACTTATAACTCTTGCATACACAGTCTGCAAACCCAATCTGCATGTCACATTTGTCCACTAAGCGCATATTGAGGTTGTAGTCCATGACAGCTGCAGGCTTTAGAATGGGTTCATTGGTCTCTCTCTTGTCCCTGCCACTGGGTACCATTTCGTTTCTGTGAACTGATGTCAACAATGTGACATCATGTTTGTCATGCCACTGAAATGCCATGGTGTCATTGGCAGCAAAGGCTTGCACCTCACCTCTGCGAGTGCCAGCGTCGAACCTTGGCATATGTTTACGATTACGACGCACTGTGCCACACACGTCTGTCAAGTTCACTCGCAAGAAATCACTGAGTAAGGGGCTTGTGTACCAGTTATCAGTAAATAACATATGCCCCTTACCAAGATATGGTTCCATCATTGTTCGAACCACATCACCAGAGATATCCAATAACTTCATGGTATCTCTCAAAGTATTGCTGCCAGTGTACACAATGATATCCAAAACTAGATCACTTCTGCAGTCACACAGTACAAATAGCTTTATACCAAAGTGTTTCCTCTTGCTTGGTATATATTGCTTGAATGAGAGTCTTCCTTGAATAAAATCAAGGACTCATCAATAACAAGCTTCCTGAAGGGATAAAAATACATGCAGCACTTTTGTTTCAGGTACATAAACACATTTCTGATCTTATATAACCTGTCGGTTCTGTCAGGCCTGGTTTTGTCTGAAAAGTGTAACATACGTAACAGTATCAGAAACGATTGACACCTATAATGTCACTAAAACCTGGAGTTGAAATCAGGCGTTCTGTTGCCCAGTATGTGGTGACAGTGTGCTTATACACATGTGGCATAAGCATTATTGTGGCAAAAAACAGGTACATCTCTGCCACAGTTGTCTCCTTCCACTTATGTAGCCGTGATTTTGGTGAGAGAATTGTATTTGCCATGGTGTAATCACAGTATGTGTTTGTTTCCCTGACAATGATGTCCATCAGGGGTTCATCGAAGAATAACTCAAAGCAGTCCAGTTCACTGGCATTGTTCCCAAGTGGACAAGATGGCTTTATTCCACTTTGTGTTTCATCAAAGTCATGGGGACTGGGAACAAACTCGTCACCGTCCTGCCAATCCCAGATGCAGTCTGCTGGTGGGGTCTGGATATTGTACCGTGGTTGTGGTTGTGCAGGTTGTGGGAGTGTGGGGTAGGGTGAGGCTGGTTGTTGTGCAGAGTCAGCAGCGTGGGTAGTAGCGTGGCCCGCTGATGGTGCCACATGGGCCGTGCCACCCTCACTATCACCACCACTGCCTGCTCCATCACTCACATCATTCATACCCATCGTTACAATATCGTCATCTTCACTATCAGGTCGTGGTGTAGGGCCACGGGATGTGCTCCCAGAGTTTCTCCTTCCCCCTTTGGGGCAACATATGAAACACTACCAGACCACATGCTACGTCGTACGTACTGCCGCTTCACTGGGGAATATTCACTCTCACTGTCACTAGAACTGCTTTCAATGACCTTGAAATCACTATCACTGCTAACATCTGGGTGTTGTACATGACCAAATAGTTTCCTCTTTCGTCCTGGTACAGGCGAACGTGAACGTGAACAAGCCGGCCCAGCACCAGAGGTGGAAGGTTGTGGGTCATCTGGGTTTTCATCACTAATTACGTTATCCTGGGCACTTTTTTCAGTAACACTCACTTCAAAACCCTGGAATTCACTGTCACTGACATTTTCATCGCTGTTAGATCTATCACTTGGGAACAAAAGACCTCCAATCCGCCGAGGAGTGAGGAACTTCTTACCGAGAGGCATGGTGAAAATGGACTAATAACATGGCGTTCCCACAATGCACCGCTGGGTCCCAGATTTTTTTCACAGGGTGCACACCGACCACTGAGACCCATTCTCTCTCATGTAGGCCTACCAGGCCTTTCCCACTTGATTTGAAGCCACTAGAATTTGTGCGTATAAATACGTCAGAAACATTGGCTCGTAAGACGTATTTATACGTCGGAAACAGTCAAAGGGTTAAACCATTCAAAATCATTTATATTTCTCTAATATATTTTCCATTCTGTCAAATGAGACCAAGAAAACGAGAATACAAACATAAATACCATACAAAAATATACCGCAAAGTCAGTGTTTTAAACCAAAAACACGGTTGGAGTTTTTTATTTTCTCATTATGCACTGCTTGCTGCAGGACTTTTTTTATACTGTGCACATTGACCACTCAGACCCATTCTCTCATATGTAGGCCTACCAGCTTTCTTCTGCAAGACTGGTTGCCACTAGGATTTTGGTGTAATATTATGGCATTAACACTGGCTTGCAAGCCGTAATATTACAGCACCAACAGTGAAAGGGTTAAGTATAATTCTTACTGATTTCTGATACTTTTATAGCTTAAAATATTTTTATACCTATTTGTTTATGATGAGTGATACTAATTATTTATATTAGTTATTTGACCATTAGCAATGTGAGTCATAATAATAACAAATAATATTCAGTATAGGTAATAAATAGCACCCTGAAAACTAAAAAATTCCTTACCATTTTAGAATTTTAAAATCTTAGTTTTTAATAATAATAGTGTTATATATTTTCCATAATAGAAAATACATAATACAGCTTTATGGTTCTGTAGACTCTGATTAACATGTAGTCATGTTCCAGTACTTTTTTATGCTTTTTCTGGCTTTGAATTTATTGATAGTGTCATTCACTATATCTGCACAGCTCCCTTAGAAATGCAGACTGGTTTCATGGCTCCTCAATAAGTTTATTTAGGCACAGTTACACATAAGTACAGTTATCATACATAGTGTATTAAAATTTAAAGGTGACATATAATTAATACTGTACTAGAAATGGGATGATACTGATATAATTACTCAATTTTA